TAGGTCAAACAACTACTAGATTATCTCTGGTTTCTAATTAGAAATCCCTCCAAAGAAAATTCCTGTCTCAACCTCTGCAACCCACTTGCATATTTGACCACACCTGGTGCCTACACAGGCTTCACTTTGTTTAGCTGGAATTCTTCTAGCTATGGTCCAAGCCCTCAGACGAATGAAACCTCTGTGGGTTAGAACTGCCTTGCTGGCATGAGAAAGGCAGTCTTGGGAGGTGTGGAAGGGTGGTACATGGGAACAGGGGTGTAAAGCCCAGTTTCTAATAAGAATACATAGGACTTCAGGGTCTCTCATTTTATTAGGAATGATCGTCACAGAGATCTTCATCTAGGAAGTCAAATCCCTTGGTTCTACTAGTGGCTTCAAACCCTAAGGCATGCCAGGACCTAGGAAACAACTTGAGCACACATCCTCTCTTCTCTGAACTGGTCCACGGGCATGCTGAGTGTCCAGAGGGTGACCAGCAGGTACTGGGATTAGGGTATGGTCTCTGTTATCTGGTCAGGAGTGAGTTAAATGGGACTTCAGGTTAAATATGAAAGAACAAAAGCATTCCTGAAAGGCTTGAGGGAAGAGCTACTTTAGGGAAAACCATGGATATTTCTTAGCCTCTTTTTTTTATACTGAGCAGCAGAGTTTCAAGCATGGTGCTGGTCATGCATGTCAATCAGGGCAGGATGACCTCAAAACAGCCTGCAAGAAGTTTTTAAAAGAGTCTCCTGAGAAATCTCCGCAGCCAACCAGTTAGAAAGGTAAAAGCCCTCCAGCTTAGAGCTGGCACAGCACCCCTGTCAGGTGAGCTGGGCTGCATGAGGGACACAGGGGCCCCCTTCTGCCCACGTACTGGTGGATCCCCCTCTGCATCCTTCCCTCGGCGCTCTGCAATAGCGGACAATCATTGCCAATACGGATGGACCGTTTTCTCTGTCCCAGCCCTGGGTTAAGTGCCTGACCTAGAATATCCCAGCAAATTTCTGCAGTAATAACCCAAGACTAGCAAGTGCTATTCTCCCATCTCACAAATGAGAACATTGTAATCTAGGGAAAAGAACCCCTTTCCTGAAGAACAGAGTGAATGGCAAATCTGGTGCAGAGGTCTGCACTGTACTCAAGTCAGTACCCTTAAGCCCCTGGGAGGAGGCAGGATTACGCTCCCAGCAGTCTGGGCCAGGGCAAAGATGCAGGAACACGTGGGAGAAATCCAATGGCAGCTGCGCTTTCTGGGCTCAAAGATAAATACGCAAATCAGGATCCTATGGCATCTTGGTGGTTGGAAAACTGCCTCTGACTGGTTGAGCTCTGAAAAATCCAGTGCCAGAGGGAGAGTGCGCAGAAGTGACCAGCTCACGAGGGTGAGTGAGGAACGTGGCGGGAGGGGACGAATGCCTGTCAGGGGCATGGAGGTGAGGGTGAGGGCAGCTGGGACAGGAAGAAGCTGATGGTGGCATTCTTCGTTTTGATTCTCATTCAGCCAGGAAAGAAGGGAAATGACAAAGGCGCATTTATAGCTGCACTCGGGTTCACTGTGTTCAGCCTGCAATTCCATTCAGAGGAACGTTGGACCCCGGGGTCGATTTCCATTGCAAATGTCTCAGGCGTATCTGAGGCTTATCGTCAGAGGATGTAAGAGAAGTTCTAGGACCCACCGTGACTCTGTGTCTAGGGCATTTTCATTTTCAGTCGGTGTAGCCAGATTAAGCAATCATGGACGACCAAATCTGAGAAGAAAGAGGACAACGTTGTATGATGTTGGCCCATGATACGGTCAAAGCCAAATCGGCTGTGGCTGGGACATTTTCGAAGCAACATACACTGAATTAAGATCAATAAGTGATAAACGGGTGTTTTTATTCTTCTTTGCTGCCACACTCTATCAATTCTGTAGCTGTCACAGCTGCCAAGGTCAGCCCCACGCTACACACCTCCTTCCCAGCGATGCCATGGGCGGGTGGTGAGTTCCTGAAATAGGCACCTCTGGGGGGCTGGGGGGCACACGAAGAAAGGCCTGCAAACCCCACCACGGGTCAGAGGTTCCCCAGGGGTTCAGATGGGGTTCATATGGCTCAGTATGACCCAGACCATTTCCTCTTCCTCAGGGAGGCTCAGACCCAGATTGCATCACTCTGGCCTGCCCCTGTTCCTTTGAGGGGGGTTAGTGGTTCCAGGCCCTTGACACATAAATCATATAATCTCAGTGCCGATAAATGGTTCTGCAAACAGGATGACTAATCCTGTCTTGCTCAGCTAGCAGTTTATCTAGTGTTTCCTGCTAATCCCAGTCTACACCCTTCTTGTTTTCAAAACCCTACAAAACTGGGAAAAATAAAACTGGCCTTAATAGAAGGCACTCAGCAACCTGACTAAAAGTAGGGATTCTGGAATTAAACCACCTGGTTCAAGTCCTGACTATAATGCTTGGGATAAGTTATTTAATCTCTCTGTACCTCAGTTTCCCCATCCGTACAATAGAGAGTGCTCACGTAAAGTGTTTGGAAGAGAGCCTCAATACACCTGAATTAAATGTCAGGCATTATTAAGTGAAAACTTCTTCTGTGGTCCAAGCTGATCCACATCTCAACATATCAGTTCTTCTTTCGGAGCCTCCAGCCTGCATGGACTTCAACAGGGGGAGAGCGTGGGAAAGTAGGGAGAGATGGGGATGGGGACTAGCTCAGGACGACAGTAGGGTGATAAGGCCTGATTGTTTTTCAAGATTCCTCATCCAAGAGGCAAGAGGGTACTGCGGGGAAGGGTAAGTGTGACCTTGTCTTGACCTCCATGCTGTCAGCTGAGCTGGAGGGTGAACCCGGCAGCCCCAGCAGACTCCACACCTGCTGATCAAATGGCTCGTGTCCAGTCTGTTGCAGGAAGTATGGGCGGGCGACCTTGTTGATCCTTGGAAAGGACCCAAGATTTAGGAGAATGGATTAAAGTTGTGGAGCCCTACCCCTGGACTTGGAGACTCCTGGAGCTTTCAGTAAATATCCTGTTCCTCCAATCTCGTCTCCCTAGAAGAGGGTGGAAGGAGCAGCACTGGAAATTCTCTCCTAGCATGATCGTTGGTATTCTGGGATTGAAAGAATGGACTTAAACCAAACTGGGCGGCCCAGGTAGCAGGTCTGAATAGACTGTGGAGAGGGAAGCTGTTGAGTGATTACCCAGATTCATTAAAGAGGACATCTGGGGCCTTTGTGGGGCTATAATGGTATTTGTAAATAAACACAGGAGGCATGCTTTATGGTTCATCCTTCTTTACCCGTGTGGAGTAAACCACATCGAGTAGCTCCTCAGCCCCACACAGCACTAGAAGACTGTGCTGCAACCTCACTATGAAGGTTCCTGCTCCCCCCACTGCCTCCCAAACTAGAAAAATCCCTCTTTCCAGAAGTCTGTTGGATTAGAACTTTAGTGATTTAGGCTCTAGACTAAATCCACTCCTTCCCCAGTCTGAAACCTTTGAGCAACCAATTAAGCTTCTCTGAGCCTTTCTCATTTGTAAAAATGAGCCCGGGTAGTCGCACTGGAAACAGTGGTAGAAGGACCTGAAGCTGTAGTGAAATTGTGTAGCCTGGGTGTGCCGCCTCACTGCTAGATGCTAAACAAAAGTAAAGGGAAGCTCCTAGCATCTCTGTTAATTCAAAAGTCATTTTTCAGCTGGTAATACAGAAAAGAAACTAGGACAGAGATTTTCAATATTGGCTAGATACCCTTTGGCTGCTCTGCAGTTCTGCACCCTGGTTCTAGACGGAGGCCATGTTCTGGCCAATCTGCTGTGCGCAGAAGTGATGCGTATCCCTCCCTGTAGATGCAGTCAAGCACCTCCTCCATTTTTCTTCCTTGCTATAGCAACCTAGGAAGCTCTATTTTATAAGATCAAAGAGGGCCGTTGAACGTGCACTGTATTATGTGTGGACGAGAAAGAAACAAACATTGGGCCAAGGCACTGAGATTTTTGAGGATTACTCTGTTGCAGCACTGCTTAGCAGTTCGTACCCTGAGTCAGAATAGAAGTTCTGGTCAGTAAGAGGCCAAGTCCACTTAGGGACACACAGGTTATACCAGCTTTTCAGGAATTTGCTTTAGGCGTTCTATTCATTCAGCTCAAAACCTTTAATTAGGTATCTTGTCCCCTAGTGGGGGGGGGGAATGGGACAGATCATTCTAGACAAAAAGTTTGCTTTTGCTACAAAATGCATTTATTTCCAGACAAAATTCTCCAACTGCATATATGAGTACATATTATAAGGTCCTTCAGTAAATGTCCTATTTGTTTATAAGAAAGAGTCCTTTCTAATTATTAAAATGCATACCAAACATTTTTGTCTCTTAAAATATAACTTAAATAACCTGCTACTGTCTAAACCATAAGTCTGGTCATTGACAAGAGTGGCGTGCGATTCTTCACGGAGTTCAGCGCAGTATCAGCACATCATCCCACAATGAGATTTCACAGGTCCTTAGGCAGCAAGCCCCTCGCTCACCTGCTGTTTGTGGGGATAGTTGCTGTTGTGGCAGCGAGCCCTCTTCTGTGAACAAAGTTATGTGCAGACAAAGAAGCATGATATATGCAAGGTGGAGAGGCATTTCACAGAATGCAAACACCATTCAGGTAAATAAGTGGACTGGAGTATGAAAGTTCAGTGCACACAAATCTGTTTACACTAGCAGAGCACGTGGCACTGTCTCATGGGGCACTCAATAAATATCCGTTCAAGTGAGGATGAGAGAATTAAGCTGGAACAGTTGTCTTGGTGCTCAACATCTGTTTTCAAGATGGGGCTTGACGGGGTGAAGCCCCTTTTGTTTCTTCAGAGTAAATCATTCTGTTTGGAAAGCCATTCATTTCCCTACCGAATTCTTCATTAGCATTTACAGACTTCTTGAAGACTGCTAGTATTCCGGGCTCGCTGGCTTAAGAAGAGCACAGAGGGGCCCAGACCAAGTCTCGATTTGTCTTTTGAAGTGAAAAGCTGGTGGACTCAGAATTTCTAGGATCAAGTCGATTCTTCACACCTTCTCTTCTGTTGGTTCCTTCTAATATCCCAAGCCCAAAAGAGCCATAGAAACTCCTAGGTTGAGCAGTATACTTCTTCATGAACTCTCATTCTGGTATCCACTCTTTCCAGTACCCTGGCTTCCTGAGGACTTGAAAGAGCTGACCTCCTGAAGTTCTGGCCTTCAGAGTTTCCCAACTGTGCTCTGAAGGTAAGGTTCTTGTTCTAAGGCTGATCCTGGGGAATGCCCCACAAAGGGACTTCCTGGAAAATCTGGAGCTGCTTGTGATTCTCAGGTCATGTCTTTCATTCCCCATCAGGCTAAGGTTGCAATTCTGGAGACACAAAGGAAAAGTTTCTAAATTCATCCTGGTTAATCATAGGAAGATGTCCTTCATCAATTGGGGTTAAAACTGGCTCTTCCTTAATGAAGTCAGGGTCAAAATTACTGACATCTTCTCGGGATTTCTGTCAAAAGGAAACAAGGGTCAGATTTTTAGGCACAGGAGGCTTTCTCCTCTTCCCTGCACCAGCTCCAGTGAGGTCAGAAGGGCGCTGCAGCCTTGGGAGTAGCATTATTTACAGTTAGGACCATTAGGACGAAGCAGCGGGTTGTAGTAATTCTGCGCTGTGTATCGTTACGGGCATGTGGGACCCCCACCCCACTTCACTAACCCCACGGAAATCTTGCTGAGCAGGCCTGCCTTAGGCCGGGAGGCGAAGCAATTAATTTGGTCACCTGATCCAGCCCTCTCACTCACCCTTTACTTGGCATTTCACCAAAGTGCCACTTCTCAACAGGCTCTACTGAGGGACATACATGCTTGGTTGTCAACAGAGTGTAAGTTCACACTTGCCTCACCTATTGTTTATACACAGGACTCTAGGTGTGAAGAGATTTTCTTGAAAGACGTGGAAGCACTGAGTTTATTCCTAAACAAGTGTCCCTCGCTTTACTCACCAGTTGGCTTCCTGCTGCCTCGCTGGCAAAGCCTTCCCTCCTCCCCAAGGGGTTGGCAGCGGGGGGCCTGGTAAAGGAAGTGGCCTGACGGCTGGGTGCCTAGTGCCCAACGTTGGGGGCTGTTACAGATTAAGCCAGCTGTGTGTATGGAAATGTTGATCTTTCACATCTTTATAAACTAATGCTTGGAAAGCTCATTTCTGCCATTGTTAGACTTCTCATTTCTCTTGCCTAAGTTGAAGATGCGTTTCTGCTTTCTCCACCATGGATCTCTTGATTTACAGATGAGAAAGAGCTTGGCTCTCAGATCAAGAGCTAGACCACCCTCAAGAATGGCCGCTCAGCTGCCTTGCTTGGGAAGGTACCCCTGGCGCTCCCAGTATTTCTCTAGTCAAAAGAGATTTGGCCTGAGCTCTGGGCTGCAGGGGCTGGTACAGACCCAGGCTCTCCAAGCCAAGGAGCCAGGTTCAGTGAGGTGGGTAGCCTTTCATGCCCTTTCTACTTCCTTGGGCACTTGGGAAAGGCACCTGGGGGAGCATGAGGAAACTAGAGGAATGATGAATTTCTCAGCCCAACTCTTTTGGGGAAACCTAGAAGTTTCAGGTCTTTTAGGCTCCAGAAAGTTTAGGTTAAGGGAGGATGGATTCCAGAGAAGCAAGAGGTGAAAGATTGGAGAGAAGTAAACTGGAAAGGGGGAGAGGTTGCCTCAAGGGCCAACCTCCTCCTGGGTGAGGCCACCCTGCAGGGCTGAGGCTGAACTTCCTGTTTGGTTATTCCATAAGGGACAATAAATCTTGGTAGAACACGGAGGTATTTTCAAAAAGAGGAAAGTCTATGGTCTTAGACACTTACGATTCTGGGTCTGAAAGGTGGTTCTACTTGGCGATGGTTCAGCTGGGCCCAGTCGATTTCCTTAAAGAAAGGATGTCTCAAGATGGCATGCTCCCCACCCTGAGTCAGGCTGCCCAGGCGCATGGTGGGGTTCTTGGTCATGAACTAAGAGGGGAAGAAAGAGAGTCGATCATTCAATAATAGACAACAAGTAGGTCACAAGATGGTAGGCATCCGCTCTGGCAGAGAAGCCTGTGTGAGGCTTTCTGGCTGATCTTGCTTAACTAGCTGAATTTTCCATTATGGGCAGCACAGCCAACATGAATCATCCCTTAAAGGCGCAACTGCTTGTGTGTATTTATGGCCTTCGCCACTTCCATTTCAGACGTGGCCGCTAAAATAAAGCTGAAGGGTCCAGTTTTTTTCACTGTAAATACCATGTATTTTTCTTTCCCTTTTAAAGAAAAACTCTTTATAGAACAGTGTGCCTTTCTCGAACACTGCAGTTGTCGACAGCCCACAGCTTATGAATAGGGCTACTTTTAAGAACAGCTGTGCCATTTTCTGAGGACCTGACCAGCCGGCCAGGATTCCCGCTCTCTGACAAGACCACAGAGAGAGGAGTGAGGGTCATTATTTTGAAGATCTGTGGGAAGATGCTGCGAGAGTAAGAAACCCAAAGTTGGCGACTTTTCTTCATGCAACAAAGATGCTCTTCTCCTACCCTTCCATTTTGAAATGTTTAATGTTTGACACTCTTTGCTACATAGACCACTTAAGCAATGGGTATATATAAATCCTCTGTATTTCTACCAACTGGGAAACTTCCCTCGGGCTGAGCTCCTATCAAGATGTTTGGAACTAAATCTATTTTGACAAAAAGGCCCGTAAGGTGTTCTAATCGCATCCAAACCAAGGACTCGTAAAGGATAATTTACTTTTCAGAGCCGGAATGTGATTTTTCAGTTTTAAAGACACTTAAGCTAATTCAAAATAAAAACTGCCTTGGATTAAAAAATTTTGTTGTAAAGTTTAAATCGTTATCTTTAAGACTGCCCCCCAAACACCCCTTTCCCAGTTTGATCTGTGAGCACGAGAGAAGAGTAATGCGGTGTCCCTAGAACTTGCTCTGCAGTGGAATTTCCAGAGTCAATAAAAAGCCCCTGCTGTTGGAGGGATGCAGACCCGCGGGGGAGTGTTTGGAGGTGGCAGCCCAGCCGTGCCAGGTGTCCAAAGCTGCATAAGCCTCCGGTGGTGCTTCAGATGACAATGACCCTGTGGCAGGAGAAGGCTGCAAAACTGCCTAAGCAAAGCTGACAAGAACGACCTCAGAAAATGCTAAAAAGCCCTCCAAGGGAGCTAATAAAAAATTGCAGACACCGATGGAGTTTTTCCTCCCTCCTGTAGATAAGGAATGTGAGGCCCTAGGTGGGGCTGCAGTGAGGGTGGGCCCCGAAAGTCTGGGGAGCTTTCAGAACTGCACAGGTCCAGCCAGCACAGTGTGGACTGAGGAAGAACATGTCTCACAGCTCAGTTCTGGGAGAGCGAGGTGTTCATGCTGCTTGGGTTCTCCTGGATCAGCCTGTGCACTCAAAGGGGAAAATACATACCCAAGAAAAATGAGTAGGTCAGCTCCTCAGGAACAGCAAGGGGATGCAATCCTGAGTGGAATGGGCATCTGTTCTAAGAGCTAATTAACAAACAATGCTGCAAAAAACCCTCAATACAAGGATGGTAGAACAGATCCCAACGGCTTGTGGGAAATGTGCAGGCCCACCAACGAGAGCAGAGGACATCTTGTGAGTGCGTGGGTACAACTTGTTCTTCTGGGCAAGAGGAACAGTGCCTGGCTCTCGCCGCCAGAGTGGCAGAAGCCCAGCGTCCAAGAGACTTTGTCCATTCTTCCTCGCCTCTGGCACTGAAGCCAAACTTCTAAGGCGCACTGGGGAAAGGCACTGTGCATGAGGGAAGGAGACCAAATCACAGCTGTTCTTCCTCTAAACACTGCATCCCTGGAAAAGGAGCCTGTCAGAATAACCCTTTCACTAGCTTGATACCTTCTCTTAGGTTCTGGTAAGTCCTGAGAAACCAGACAATTTTGTTTTGACTTTTAATATCTTGTTCTGAGCCCTTTAGACACAGCCATTCTCCAATTTGAAAAGGGGATCAATTTACAAAGGTTTACGTGGTGTCTACTGTATGCAAGGCAGTGTACTAGCCATTGTGGGGATGGAGATGACCAAGAAAGTGTGTCTCCACGAAGGAGCCGATGAAGTGAAGGGGGAAGAGGCCAGCAAGCTTTGTAGGCAATCACAGCTGGGTGAAATGAAAAGAGCAGAACGCGTGGCAGCTTTGAAGAGGGGCTGGTCATGAGGCAAGTAATGGCTCCATGAAGGAGGTGGCACTTGACAAGAGAGGAGGTGGAGGAAGGGAATGAACACAGGCCTGAAGGAAGGAAGAAGACAGTCATGCCCAAAAGCCAGCCCAGGTGCACACAAGCACCTGGTACACTGGCAGAGGAACACAGAGTGTGGTAGGACGGGCACGTGGGGCTGGTTGGGGAGCCACCGACGTCTGACAGAGAAGTGAGTGATGACTCTAGCCATGTACTGAATACATCCCGAACAAAGAGGTCCGAGACTGGTGGTGGGCGATCGGTTAAGAGATGGAGAAAATAGCTGAGAAGACCGGATAAGTTCAGAAACCAGAAGGGTTTCTGGTTAGTGGGAAGGCAAAGTTGGGAGCAAGTCCTAGAGGGCTTGTGGAAGAAGAATGAACACAATCCCCACTGGCTGGCCTTGCAGTGAGTGCGGGGTCATGGGGTCTGCTCTGGCTGCCTGCTGGAGCGGGGGGTATTGGATAAGAGAAATCAGTAACAAAAGGAGGACAACAGATTATTGGTAGTATTAATCACAGAAGCAGTTAACATGAGTAATGGCAGTATTTTGGGGGAATGAAACAAAAATATCCAGCATTTCTCAAGACCTGACAGTGTGCAGATCTGGGAGGCTGAGCTCAGCTTTGTATATGAAGTATGCAGACATCCCCATGGAGATGACTAGTCCTGTAAATCCAGGGTGCAGGCGAGGATTAGAGATCTGACCGTCTGAGATATCAACATTTGGTGAGAGGGCAAGAGATGAAGCTGTTAGAGCAGGCAAGACTGTGGAAAAGCAATAAGAGTATAGAAGTAAGACCAGCCCCAGGCCTCAGACATCTTATTTGGCTCACACAGCATGTTTTAAAATAATTTCAATTAATTACTTGTCAAATATTTAAAAACTAGGAAATGTCATTTAAAAGTCAAGTTTTCCACTTTCTCTGGGAAAATAGGATATTCTAGTACACTAAACCTGCACTTCTTGATATAAAGGGCCTAGAGTCAGCAGTGGCTGCCTTTTTAGATGGAGCATATGATCCCTGGTCAGCCACATACCCCACCACTCTGCATCGCCTCACACCTAGCGGCTTCACTCAGTGACTTTGCATGGCTCTGAGCCCTGGCACAGGGACAGAAAAAAGCCAGGGGAGGGCTTCTGGTTCAAGATGGCAACATAGGAAGGCCCCACACTCACCTCATCCATGGACGTATCAAATCTACACCTATTTTATAAAGCAATTCCCCTGGAGAGGAACTGAGGGCTGACCGAATGGCTTCTGCACAAAAGCTAGATGGAGACATGGTAACATGATCATAAAGGGAACACTCAATGCTGCAAACTGCAGTGGGGAGGAACAGTACTGAGGGACTTTGAGTAGATCCACTTATCCTGGAGCACAGAAAAAAGCATTTATGAGTACAACTAGAATGTAAAGCATTCAGCTCTAGAACCTTGACAAATGGCAGGAGACATGCTGGAAATCTCCCCAGGTTGGAGGGGCTGGCGAGTGCTATGATTACAGTCCCCCTCCACCGTGGTAGCATGGAGAGGAGCAAGGTCCAGTGCCCTAGTGAGCATGACACCTCAGTGAGCCCTGGGCCCCTAGTCCACACCAGCCCCATCTATCACACTAAAGTGGCCCCAGCATGGCATATCCCAGGGCACTTCTGGTCAGCACTCACTACAGTTCCAGCCTTCCTGCCAAGGTGACACAGGCACACAGCACCGGAAATACTCCAGGCCACGCCACTTTGGCTCCAGATGAGTTGCTAGGGTGCCCCCAGTGCAGAGTGCTCTGGGACCTTCTAGTTCAGCGCCAACCAGGGCCTCCCTGTGTAGAGCACCCTGGGCAGCAACAGCCTTGGCCACAGGTGTCCCTTGTGCCGAACACTCTGGGACACCCTGGCTTGCACCAGCTTCAGCTATCCTACTAGAGTGCCCTTTGCTTAAGCAGACCTGGGAGGGCCCCAGCCCATGCCAGCTTCAGCTGTCCTGCCAGGGCACCCTCTGCATAAAGAGCCGCAGGGCTATCCCAGCCCACACCCACTTCAATTCCTGCCATCCCATCAGGGCAGCCTCAATGTGGAGTCCCTCGGGACTCCCAGCCCACACTAGCCTCAGCTCCAGTGAGCCAACCAAAGTCACCAGGCACACACAGTCTACAGTGGGGACAACCCTACACAAGACCATTCAAGTTTAGGAGAAGTAGCTATTCTGTGTAATTCATAAAAGTTAACACAAAGTCAAGCAAAATGAAACAGAGGAATATGTTCCAAATGAAAAAACAAGACAAAAACCTCAAAAAAAGAACTAAATGAAATGGAGATGTGCAATATGCTGATAGAGAGTTTAAAGTAATATAAAGATTTTCACTGGACTGAAGAAAAGAATGACCTGAGAACTTCAACAAAGAAATAGAAAATATAAAAAATATCAGCTGAAATATATAATAAATGAAATGAAAAGTACACTAGAGGGAATCAACAGTCCATTAGCAGATGCAGAAGACTGGATCAGTGATGGAGAACAAGATAAAGGAAAGCCCCCAAGCTGAACAGCAAAAAGAAAAAAGAATTTTTAAAAATGACAAATGAAGGGATCTCTTAGACAGCATCAAGCAAACAAACATTCACATTATAGGGGTCCCAGAAGGAGAGAAAGGGGCAGAAACTTATTTGAAGAAGTAACAGCTGAAAACTTCCCTAACCTGGGGAAAAACACAGACATCCAGGTTCAGGAAGCACAGATTGCTGCAAATGAGATGAACCCAAGGAGGTTCACATC